CAATGACAAACTAACCTAGTAACACTTTTCTCAAAAACTTATCCCCAATGATTAGTGATGCATAACGACACAAAACTGTTAATATACACTAACAAAAACAAAAAGAGTGAGTGGGAAAGTGGTAACATCAGAATAAAAGTTAGTGCTTATATCCATATCAATTTCTTTGTTGTTAATTGTAAAATAGTAGAGGATGTTATCACTAAGGGGAAATGGATGAAGGGCAAAAGGGATCTCTATATTATTACATTTTTTAAAAAATGGATTTGCAGAGGCAGAAAGCACACAAGAGAAATGCAGACCAATACTTCTGACCTACACATGAAAAGGTGCCCAACAAAATACTAGCAGAACAAACCCAATGGCACATTAAAACATTGTACCCCATGACCAGGTGGGTTTTATCCCTGGGGTACAATGGAGGTTTGACATCTACAAATCAATGAATGTGATAGAGCCTATGAACAAAATAAAGGACCAAATAATTCAATATAGCAGCAAAAACACCTGTCAAAACTCAGCATTCTTTTGTGGTTAAACATATATTTAGAAAAATTTACCTGAATATAATAAACAACATACATGAAAAGTCCACAGCTAACCAATGCTCAATGGTAAAAGCAGAAAGCTTTTCCTTTAAGCTCAAAAATAAAGCAAGGATGCCACTCTCTTGCCACTTCTTTTCAGCTTTCTACTAAAATGAAGTCAGAACAATGAAAAAGAAAAAGAAATAAAAGACATCTAAATCAGAAGAAAAGTAAATTTATTTCTGTATATAGACACCATAGTCTTATATGCAGAAACCCAAGATACTCCAACAACAAAAAACTGTCATGTTCAGAAAAGTTGCAGGGCACAAATATCAACATATAAATATTAGTTTTATTTCTATACAGTAACAAACCACCTGAAATGAAAACAATCCCATTTATAACAGTATCAAAAGGAATAAAATAGGAAAAAAAAGAATGAGTTGAAAAACTTACACATTTAAAAGTACAAATTTTGACCAAAGAACTTAAAGAAGAAACAAATAAGTGAAAAGACACCCCATTCGAGTATTAGAAGGTTTAATATTACTAAAATGCTCATACTACCCAATATTTCAATGACATATTATACAAAAATAAAAAATTCATATGAAGCCCTAAATCTATAAAACAATCTTAAAGAAGGAAAAAATCAGAAAAATAAAGACTAAAGTTCAAAATATATTCCAAAGCTACAATGAGTAAAACAGTATAGCATTTTAAAAACATATAGCACAATTGGGGGAAATAGAAATTAATCCATGCAAACAGGTAAAATGTTCTTAAACAAGCATGCCAGGAACAATAGGGAAAGGACAGTCTCTTGAACAAAATGGTGGGAGAAATGGATAACCACATGTAAGATAATGAAATTGGATCCTTAATCCATAAGCAAAAAAAATAATTTAAACTTTATTTAAATTTCAAACATCAGACTTGAAGCTGTAAACTCCTAGAAGAAAACAAAACAAATTTCATAATACAGACGATACCAAAAGCACAAGCAAACTTAGGCAAAAAATTAAAAGGCCTGAGGACAGCAAAGGAAAGAAACAACAGGGAGAAAAGTCAGTCTACAGAGCAGGAGAAAGTACCTATAAATACTGATCTGATTTCAAAATATATAAGGAGTTCCCACAGCTGAAAGTAAAAAGATGAAAACTGAAATGATTACAAAATGGGCTAGGAATTTTAATAAGCATTTATCCAAACAAGACATAAAAGCCATCAAAAAGGATATGGAAAGGTGCTTGAATCCTACAATGAAATAGCTAAAATAATCTGGTTATCAAAAATAAGCTAAGGAATTCAACAGACATTTTTCTGAAGAAGATATAAAAATAGCCAACAGATTATGTGAAAGGCTCACATCATTTTCACATGTCAAAATGCATGTCAGAACCACAATGAGATGATACCACACACTTCTTAAAGTTCTAAATATATTTCAAAGCTATAGTAATGAAACAGTATGATATTAGCATAAAAAACAACCATAGCACAATTGGGGAAAAGAAAATTGTCTCAAAAATGGCTTTATCCGACACACAAGATAACAAATGCTGGTAAGGATAATGTACAGCTGTCACCACTATTGATGGGTGTGTGCAATGGTGATGTTGCTATGAAAAGCAGGTAAGTTCCACAAAACTTAAAAATCCAATTACCACCCAGAAATGCTACTTCTGGTTATATACTCGGAAGAGCCCAAATCAGGATCCTGAAGAGCTCGACACTGCCATGTTCACTGCAGAATTTTTCACATCAGCCAAGATAAGGAAACAACTAAAATAATCACAATCAGATTGATGGATACAGAAAAGGGGAGTACAAGAAAACATTACTTAGACTAAAAAAATGATATCCCATGGGTGGATAAACCTGAAAGACATTGTGTTAAATGAAAATAAGCAATTGCCAAAGGACAATACTGCCCGGTTCTATTTGTATGCAGTCTCTAGATAGTCACACTCATAAAAACAGCAAAAGAGTGGCAGGAGATTGCTTGCTGGTCACCAGGAACATGGTTTCAGTTAAACAGGGAAAAGACTAGAGATCTGCTGTGTCACTTTGTGCCTGCAGCTAACTGTCTCTACTGTGTACTAGAAAATTTGCTGAGATGAGAAAGTTGTCAAGATGAAAGATCTCATGTTAAGTATTCTTACCACAATGAAGAAAGGGGGGGGGGGCAAAAAGTGGTTTGAATCTCCAAAACTTTTGCTCACACAAAACTGAATAAAGATAGTTTAAGAATACATATAGTTAGGCCCTCCCTGGTGGCACAGCGGGTTAAAGCACAACACTGAGAAGCTAAAGCCACTTCCGCATGAGTTCGATTCCCGCCTGCCCCGGCGGTGACCACATGACGTGACAGACCTCTCCTGGCCCGCCCGCTGCTCCCCTCAGCAGTGTACTTCGTCGATCTGCCTGTTCTGCTCCTTACTCTGTCTCTGGTGAAGCCTCCCACCACCCCTGCACCTCTGGCTTGTGCCCCAGTTCTCTGTGAACAAATAAATAAATCTTTAAAAAAAAAAAAAAAAAA